TTTCCCTCTTCATTTTTTCAGAACTTTGCCAGAGCAGAACTTGAATTAAAGTGACAGATAACATGCATCTGTCTGAAGTACCTTGCTATTGTATAACTTTTAATTAAATATAAGTCCTTGTTTTGGCTTTTGTGAAGTCACATGAGATTTAGTTCCTCTTTCTTACTGAAAGTGCAATGATTAAAAGGTTGAAATTCGAAGTGGAAGCAATAAACCTCTCCATAAAACTTCTTTAAGCTTACAGATGGAACTATCCTGAGGTCTTTAGGAATACTTAATACATAAAATTCCACTGAGGCGTTGAGCCATAAAAATGAAGTATTTTTACACACTCCTTTTGTCAACACTAAATCGGATTAACTGATTTATAGTTCTAGAGCAGCTTTTTACTGGAAATCGAAAGGAACTCTGAGAGCGAATGAAACTTGACAAATAACAGCATTTTCAAGACAGTTTTGTGCAAAGAATTTATTCTTTCACAACAAAGGGCCATAAAGAGCATCCTTTTCTTTAGTATACTAAATTATGTTTCTGTAATAATAATAAAAAAATCACATTGCCATGTTCCTATAAGTTACATTACCAAATAAGTACTAATTATCCCCTTTGCCATTATCTGACGTTCCTGAGCCGTTTACAACAGAAATGGAAAAGCTGCTTGAATAGGTTTTCTGTGTTTAAATCACTGAGAAGATAGTTATAAAGACAAAAGGAGTACTTTTTTTCTGGGCCTGCATGTAGGTTCTATTGCCTTTTGCAGAAAACCCAGAAGTTTGTGTGTACAATGAAAGATTATGTGACAAACACCACAGTAAAGATTAATCAGAGGTTGATGTATAAAACATTTCAGTTATGCTTCATACAAGCTGTGAAGAAAATACAGTTACCTGGAGTAGAGTCACAATCAAATCATCATGTCATAGATGCACAATTTCACTGGGAAGTTTGCTATAAGGTTATAAGGAGGAATATAGATGCACCAAATGATACCAATGAAGAAAATCTGGGTAAAGTCAGCAAACTTGCCTATTCTACTATGAATTGCTGAGTAACTGCAATCACAAAGTAGTAAACGACTGGCACCCTATCCTAGTGGCATTCATCAGCTAGAGAAGTACACCCATCCGTTTTATATCTGCACATTTCTAGTAGTGATTGGCAAGGTTCTCAATAAGTGTGTGTGCATGGTTTGAAGTGGAGCTTGTATTAATTATAATGCACACAAATACATATTGGGAAAGGATTTACTCTCCACACAAATGCACAGAAAAATAATCTCTTCACCAGCCTACATCTGGAGTGCTACTTAAAAGCCTAGCAAGGATTTGTGTAAGGCGTTAGGAAAAAATGTTTTTAGAAACCATTCTGTTCTCACAATAACTGTTAGCTAAAATTTTGAACTCAGCGTGCTAAGAAGTAACTAAACATACTTAACTGAATTGCTGTAATTTAACAGGACAAAGCAACAGAGCAGGAAATTCATAAATTAGTAAAGAGTTATCTAAATGAGTAACTTTCATCATCGTATTCCAGCTCATCTTCCTCGTCATCCTCCAGAAGTCTGTATTTAAATTTGTGATAGACTGTGCCATCTTGGCCCATATACACAATGTCATCTTCTTCATCATCATCTTCATTATCTCGATCTCTATACTCAATCACTTGATCTTGCTGGTAACTAGGAGTCTCGTGGTAGTTGCTCACGTAGGAAGGAAAGGTTTTGGAGTGATTTGTCAGCTTCTCATACCGATGTTTATTCACAGCCTGGGTTTTGGCTCGTGATTTTCTCCAGATGAATACAATGGCTCCAATGACAAAGAGAAGCAAAATGCAGGTAATAACAAAGAAAGTAGTTTTGCTTTTGCTCTCGGGTGGTAGAGTGGTCCGTAATACACAGTCATCTACAACAGCAGTTAAAAAAAGTTTGAATGAGCTTGTGCGCATGTCTGTGGCAGGGGAGTCTTCGTCTTAAAACACCCGGTAAAACATTTAGGCCTGCTTACATTTTTAAATGTATTTGACCTAATACCTTACTATTCCAGTACCACAATGTTTTTGTAGCTGTGATTGTATAAGGATGTAAGCAAGGTTGCTGGGATAGCTACGCTTCTTTATTAGATTACCAATAACCGGAAACAAGCAGAAAAGCTAACAGGCACACAAACGCGTTTTGACATGACAAGCTTAAAATGCAATGATTCAGATGGCTATCCATTGAGAAAAGCACTTCCCAGTCACCTGTTTTATGAAACACCTGGCCATTTAACACAAAAGCTGTGAGTGAAAGAAGGTGCTGTCTCCTGCATCAGCATGACTGCTGTGATTTATGTAAAGCCTTTCCTGTTCTGGCGATGGAGAAGGAGAGACACACTGTGTGCCTGAAGGTCAGCAGCACATTTTTGCACTATTCCCCTTTTAATTTTTAAATGACAACCTAGTCAGTTGTAAAGCCCTTCAGCACCATTACTGCTCTTCAGCATGGTCCTACCTTGTGTTTCACTGCAGTCGCAGCACTCTGGCGTGCCTGCCAGGTCAGAGTCACTGCAGCAGGGCAGGCAGCGGCTTTCCTCCAGGTAGAGCTGCATGCCAGCCGGGCAGACTGTGCAGTTGAGAGGCCCAGGTCCCTTGCACTCAGTGCACGAGCTGTCACATCTCTCACACTTGGGTTCGTCCTCCTTCACACACAGAACAGAAGCAACACACCTTTCATTTTGGATTCTTTGGACCTGGCCTGGCAGTTCTGACCTGCCTTTCACTGGGTGGTCATCTCTGTGCACCGTGGGTGTCAATGGCAAAATACAATAGGGAGTAGGAAAACTAAAGTGTGGTTCATATTTCCTGGGTTGTCAGAGACCTTTCTTGTAGGGAGATGGGGAAGAGTGTCGTAGGAGCTTAGGGATCTCACCAAGCTACAGAGTGAGATAAAATTCATTCAGACTATAAGCTGTTTGGCCAGAAAGTGTGGGGTATTTTAGGTAGTCCCATGTTAGCAGATCTATGGTTCTCTGTCAGTAATGATGGTAAAGTGGCCCTCAAGAAGTGTACTCAAGAGTATCATTAAAAGTAACTGACATGGGAGAAGAAACATGAAATGTTCTGGGAAAAAAAGAAAGGCAGCTGAGAGAATGAATTTCCTTTCTAACCTGGGAAGGAGCAGAATTAAGCAATAAAGCTGACTGGACATTTTCTACCAAACCAGGTTTTTATTAGATAGTGTTATTTCTGGTTACAGAAACATCTTAGATTCAAATACGCTTCTCAAATTCCAGAGAGGCTCCCGGGAGTCTCTGTGTACAAAGACTACCAGATATCATCGTTGTCACATCTACCTTTCAGCATGCTCTGAGCTCAGGTATTTCAGGGCTTTTAGTGTTCAGAGTTCCTGGCCTGTTGGGAAAAAAATTTCTATTTTTCTACCATGGGACCAGGACTCCATGACTGCTGTGAGGATCTGGAAACTCCAATAAACATTCATCAGACTTGCTGTCAGACCTGCAAGGCTGCTTGTCCTGAATTGAGGAACCTGGGCAAGATGGGAGGGTCATATCGGGAGGTCCAGTTTCTCAGCGTCACAGCTCTTGCAAAGAACTGTGGACCTCTCTGGTCCCCGGCTCTTTGGCTGTTTGGTCAGGCTTGCAGTTATGGAGCGGCACTGCTAAGGGAATATTCCAGGGTGTGTAGCATCTCAGGCCAGCTGGCTTGCCCTGCTGCTGTATTCTTGAACAAACATCTTTGGAAGGCAGTTGGTGTGGAAATATGGAAGCTTGAGTGCCCAGACTTGTGGCACAGACCCAGACCTAATTGTGGTCCTACTCCACTAAATACACAGCTCTGTTAAATTCAGCCTGTCCCTTCACTAGAGGTTTCTGCCAGCAGAGCTGTCAATCAGAAATGCAATGCCATTTATTACAGACAAAGCAGCAGAAATCCATGAGGAAATGTCAGCTATACTGGAAGAAAAGAACCACTGTATTACTAATGTAGCTGATTTTGTTCACATGGCTTTGGTATCATTGTTGCCAAAGTTGTGACTTTATATTTATTGGTAGAGGATTGTTCTATAGTAGACAACTCCAGAAAGAGAAGCAGTGCTTCCCCAACCAAGAGAAGAAAAAAACTAAGCATATTTAAAGGTAGGCAGCCTTGAAAACTGAGAGAAGAGCATTCTGTGTTGTGTGTATTGTGTTCAGAAGTTAAAAGTTCATTATACAAATCACAGGAGAAAATGCCTACAAATAGGTACCTCTTGTCCTTCTGTCTCCTGGACTTTGTATTCGCCTACAAAACAGTCTGAGTTGCACATTCCACCCAATAAACTGTAGCTCCATACACAAGATGTGCAGCTGAATGTTCCCTTCCCTAGAAAGGGAAATAAAACAACAATATTACAACACGACTAATTGTCATTTAACTTCCTTTAAGAATTGTATTGACCACTGCCACCAAAGAAAAGGATATTTGCCAGCAGCAAGAATCAGCAGTGAGGAGTTCAGCATGAGGAGGTTGCTATTAGAAAGAGCTTGGGCCTAGTCTTGAGGATTTATGTATCCACAACATCTGTTTCTTAATGTGTTTTGATATTCGTGAAAAGCTGATTTGGGAATCAGTTGTACAGGGAAGCGCCGACACAGTCAGCAAAATCAATTAGGGAAGTAAAATTGTGGGGAACCTTGGCCAAATGCTTTCCTTCACAAAATCAATAGTTATTAGGCCTGCTTGCTAACCATTTTCAAGCCACAAAGAATTAAGTTATGTTTATGTTGGTATAGGAAAATTTATTCTTTAGTTGCATATGAAAAAATTCTTCACTAGGTACAAACAGAGCATCATATGTACTTTGTGTGTTGGAGACTCTTTCCGAAGACAGATGCTGCATGCAGTATTTCTGTGAAATGTTGAAGGGTTTGCCCTACATGTTACGATGCACCTGTGCATTTCCCTTCAACTAGGCATTTTCTGCCACTGTCTGAAAGGAAGGAAATGCAAATGCAAGTAGCTCATGTTAGCAGTAGTTAAACAGCTGAAGTTAGCAACCTTCTATAACCCAGTGAATTTACTACGTGATGTTTCTGAGCAGGGCAGGGTTTGCCTTCCTGCTCATGAGAAAACAGAGACACCACAACACTTCTTTTCTCGTACATCAGCAAAGCAGATGCATTTCAGAACACCTACAGATTTGCTGTTTAGAAGGACTATCATGTATTTATCTTAGTGTCTCTGTAATTATGGTAGAAAATCTGTCCTGTAGTATTTATCCCAAATAAAATAAAAATCAAAGGAAGTAGTCTGTAAATTAAAATGGCTATCTTTTTATTTCAAATCCAAGCCAAAATATTTCTGTTACTTGTTACAATGTTGTTATACAATTACATTTTAATAGTTCTTGAAGGTGCAGCTAGCAATCTGTGCCATCCAGTATATCTGCTATGGAAAGCAAATTTTGTATGTTACAATATGGTGTGGTCTAAGCTTCAGAGTGGTGCCTGTTAACTATGATCTGACGACATTCAAATAGAAAAGGACACAAAGTGGGTCCAAGGGGGTTAATGCTGCTTGCTTCAGAATTGGATGAATTAGGAAAAAGAAGAAACTGAATATACAAGTGTGTTACAGAACAAAACAAATGGTCTCTCAAAGTTAACTTTGAAAAATACTTAATGATATTAAAAGAGGCAGAAATCACTGCTTTTTTTTTTTTTTTTGCTTTTCACCCTAAAATTATGCTTTACAGCTGTTTCAACTCTTCCATTTGCAGACTGTAAAGATATGTGGTTGGATTTATGTTCTTTGGCTTTTACAGAGTAACACATAGCAGGACAGATGAAAGAATGAGGTATTATTCAGTCATTATTCAATGTTTGTGCGAGAAACAAGGTCCAGCTCTGTAACTAGCAGAGCCGTTTTTTTTGAAGTTGATAAGCATCTTTGTGAGAGGCCTGGCTGATGGAAAATTCACTACCATTGTCCATTTGTTTCCCTTCACTGACCTGGCACCGGGACTCACTCCCAGCCCTCCCGGTGAGCAGCTACCTGCACGCTTGCACTCTGTGGATGGAGGCAGCCCTGCAGGGAGCTTGACAGGAATTCGTATCTTTGCTTTGATCTCGATCAATCAATACTCTAGAGGTAAAGTGGCAGCATGGGGCAGCCAGCACAGTAAGTCACCCAGGGCAAGGAAGAGCCTGGCAGCCCCAGGGGAGGTCTGCACCACGCACAGCGGCTACTTAGGTCATGGACATGTTGGTAGCGCTGTACGTGGTATGTCTCTTTGTGAAGTGTTTCCAAACCTTGGAGCACAGAGTTAATAAAAGGAGAGATGGCAGGTGTTTTGATAATCCTTGGCGGGTGTTTTGACGACTTTTTCTGGTCAAAGCAGAACATATGCTTTTACCTTCACAAGTTCGACAGGAAGGGTGGCATCTTTCACAGACGTTGTTGTCCTTGCTTTCATAGTAATACTCAGGACAAGAGCTAACACATTCGTTCGTGGAGCGCAATAGATAGAAATATGTATCACAGAAGAGGCAGTCCATGGGCTGAGGCCCCATACACTCCTTACAGCCCTTGTGGCATCTCTGACATGATCCAGTGGAGTTTTGTGCAAAATAACTGAAACAGATCAGACAGTCATGGCTTCGCACAAAGCCCAGCAGTGATAGGAGAGCAAAACACCCTTCATCCTTAGCTTTTACTGTGATTACATCAATTTATAAAAGTGATATTGATGTGATCACAGTAAACATTTGCAGTCTCAGTGAGAATAAAATAAATTTGCTTTAATTCCCTTTGGCCATTGGAATTCAGCTATAAAGGAAGACCTTGTAAATTGAGGGTGTATAAAGCAAGGCTTTCTAAAATCTAGGGTGAATTCAGACACAAAGTATATAAATAGGCAGAGGTCAGAAAACCTCAACTGTTTTGGCTTTGTAAGAGATATCCTGGAGATGCTGGGTAAGCACTGAGTTCCTCACTGCTCCTGATGACCTGCTGCCAGATGGAAATTGAGAAATTTCGTATTTGCTTTCAGTGCACAAATAGGCTTAGCCAAAAGATACCAGCAGAGGAACAGTTTTCACTAAAGTTGTGCTGTCTTGGAAAAAGAAGAATTGCTGCACTGTGGTTTTGTTGAGATATGGTTATTGTAAACTTCCAGTTTAATGGGATAATAAGTCACTTTAACAGCCAGCATGATCGTACTCTACTGCAAAATGAAATGGACGTGAACCACAAATTGTAGGTCCACTTCCCAAATTTGAATTTTTGAGACATATTCACAAAAGTACACTGAATTCACATCTTGAAATCAAATGGAGTTGTATTAATGAAGTTGCTGTCTAGAATTATGAGTCCTCAGTTGAAAGGTGTTTTAATGGTTGGTTTTATTATGATCCATTATAAGCATTCACTCAATGCAAAACAAAAGTATCTTAATCTGAACTTCAGGTTAAGCGAAGGCGGCAAGAGTGCTTGAAGGAAGCTACACTGCTTGCTGTGCTGAAGCTGACTAACAGATAATATCTGCTTCACACTATTCTGTATAAACACAACCTAAGAGCATCCTTGGAGTGTAAGAATGGCCACACCACATCAAACTGGTCCCAATTTGGGCATCTACTTTAGAGTTTTCCATTGTGAGGGGAGGTTTCCCGCCACCTCTGTACCGGAATAACAGAAGAATTTTTGACCTGAAAGTAGAATTCAATTCTATTTCACTCTGAAGTAGAATAGAGCAAAGTGACCTAGTTTCTCGAAGGTCTCTCTGTGATCTAGCCCTTAGCTAAAGAACTTGGACCTTACCCTGCTGGACATTGGTTTACGCATCCTTTTCCTTGTCTGTACCAGCCCGGTTTGCAGGAAAGGCACTGTGAGCTGTGTTTTCCTGTGCAAGTGAAGCAGGCGCTGTGGCATGGGGAACATTGTCCCTCATCGCTGTCCACGTAATACCCCTCTGGGCATGTTTCAACACAGGTTGTATCTGCACAGACAACAATGCATGATAACATATCATATTCTGTATTTGCTGCTGTAAAACATCTCATTCAGCTGTGCTAGAGCAAACTCTCTGAGGAGATGATGTTAGAGCGCATACCAGAACAAGAAAATAAAATGTTGAAATATAGTAATTATTTTTTTGTTTCTTCGAAGTCTTCTCAGTTCATTAGTCCTCATTGCTGCATTTTATGTACATTACCAGGCTCTTCAGAACAGATAATTTTTTATGTTTGGGAAATATAAATGCACGATACATAATAATGAACAGCAGCTGTGATTTCTTTCAGAATATACAAAAGAAGAAGTAGTAATTAGGAAACTTTCTATCTGCATTGCCATTTTCCTTAGGTTTCACTCCAAGCATCAACCTTATTGCATTTAGTCTATATGATGAATTTGATGGTAAATTTGAGATTTTATGACATTTCTCCATTGGTATTTACACTTGTCTGTGGCTGCTGCTTTATGTTATGGGAATAAATGCCTGTAACACTGCCAAATGTACCAGGTATGTACCACTTTTTCACTGAGGTTTTAGAGGGTCATAAGAATAGGAATCTTGAATGAGAAGTTAGGACTGATGCAACTTACAGCAAGCGCATCAAGATAAGAGAGAAGTGATTACTCATTAGTAGCTTGTACTCATTATCTAGCTTGTCTTTATAGTTTTGCTGCTAGGGTTGCAACCGGGCAAAGGAAAATACTTCCCCGTATTTCTATTTTTCTTGCAATTCTTCCTCCACTCCAGGATGTTTATTTTCATACTTCCACCAACTTTTCCAGTTATAATGGTGCAAAGCAGCTGAATGTGCTGATAAAAAAGACAGGTTTGATGCAAGACCTCAGAAACTTAAGAATGCAAAATCTGCATCAGAAGTAGACTCAAAAAGCTCAGGTTCAGTTTTAATTCAAACTCTTTAGAATTTTCCTGCATGAAAGATCATTTTGATAATTTTTTCTCCCAATGATTTACTAAAATTTTTGTTTGCTTTTTAAAGAATATGCAAAGAAATGAAGTTTAAGTTCTGGGATTGTATAGTTTTTCCCAATTTGTTTCTGAGACAATACAGTCTTTTGCTCCAAAGTCAGAAAAGTAATTTTGCACCTCAGCCATCCACTAGATACTGAACAACTTTTTAACAGCTCTGCTTGAGTATTTCTTTGCTTATTGGATCTCTGCGGGGATTAAACAAGCCAACGTGAAAATGTGAACTCTTTGTGCACACATTAAAAAAAGTATATATAAGGATAACCCTCCTGTGTTTTTAAGTTCCTTGTAGGAAACAACAGGAACAGTACATACCAAGTAAACGAAACAGACAAGCTTTGTTTAGCCATGGAGTTTGTTGTGACTTAGGTGTACTGCTTTGGCCTCAGTGAGTGGCAAGCCCAGTCTCACAAAGAGTTTGCAGGCAGCCCCACAGAAGTAATTGTCTCTGCACAAGTTATCCAGTTGTCAGGTCAACTTTGCAATACTTAGATTGGCTGAAACAGTCATAGATGTTGCACACATGTGACAAAACTTGCCTATTTCATGCTTTCAGTGTAGAATAAAATCTAGAGGAGGGAGCAAGACACTTACTGAGAAGATGGCGGTTCTTTGCACAGCTAAGACACTGGTGTTCAGTGGGTCCTGAGCAGTGGAAACATTTCTTATGACAAGGTTTGCAGGTTTGAGTTTTCTCAAGGTAATACTCAGTGCGAGAGCAGTATCCAGATGCCACACAGTGCCCGTCATGGTTCAGCATCAGGCCGTTTCTGCAAGTAAGGCAGGCAGTGGAAGAAGAACAAGTCTGGCATGTCCTGTTACATGCTGAAATGGACAAACAGTAGGAATGTCACCATTTCTGTAGCATTTCAGATTATTATTTCAACTTTAATTTTGCAAGGAGCAGCTGTCATCTTGGGATGAGAGGCTAAGGGAAACAGAGCGGCAGCTCTGCTTCTGCATATTCAAACATTCTACTATGTTCAATCTTATGCAGGCAGTTCCTTCGGTTTTGTTTTGCACTGGCACTGCCTTTTAACAGAGTGGTTGCCCATAATATTAAACATATCTAGGTTTGCTACCTCCCTCTCAGCTTTCTCCAGTTTTTGCTGTTCTGAGCTATGCCTTGTTATTTTTCTGCATTAGCTATCTGCTCCGTTTACAGGACACTGATAGCGACATTAGCTGGCACATGCAGACCCTTTTGGGATAGTCTTTAACCAGACCCATTTGTATCTCAGCACTGTTCTGGGGGAAACAACAGCTGCCAACCTTGGCAGTCTCCAGTGGCTTCTTCATAGTAAGTCCCTTCAGGGCACTCTTCAAAGCACATGCCACTGTAGAGGACAAAGGATTCGATGGTGCAAGCAGTGCAGTCGTCCAAGTCCGGCCCGTCACAATCCTTGCAGGCTGCATGGCAGGGAAAGCAGTGCTTGTCTTCAGCATAGAAGTAAGAAGGGCAGTCCTGCACACACTGCCCTTCATGCAGGAAGAACTCGTCCATGCACTCTGCAGAGGACAGCAAACAACAGGTAAGCAAACAGGCAGCGAATTCTGACCTCTGTAAGTGAGTGAGCAAAGAATTCCTAGGAAACCATAAATCCTGCAGTGCCTGTCATAACAGGAGATAAGAGGACAGCTTGGGAAGGC